CCTGGGTGCAGTCCCTCAGCTCTTCAGCTCAAGGCTAGCGCTTGAGCCACAGCGCCACTTCCAGCTTTTTTCTTTTTGCTTATATGGTGCTGAGGAATCAAACCCAGGGCCTCATGCATGCAAGGCAAGCGCTCTACCACTGAGCCACCTTCCCAGCCCGAGGCAGAAGTCTTGACCTAAGAAAGATCAAACTTTTGTATCACTCAGTAAAAGAACAAAGTTGTGCCGGATGCTGGTGGCTCAGGCCACCTCTTGAATATCAAGAGGCTGAGATCTGAGAGTCACAGTTCAAAGCCAGCCCAGGCAAGAAAGTCTGTGAAACTCTTATCTCCAATAAACCACCAGAAAACCGGAAGTGGCGCTGTAGCTCAAGTGGTAGAGTGCTTGCCTTGAACTGAAGAGCTGAGGGGAAGCGCTCAGGCCCAGAGTTCAAGCCCCACTACCAAAAAAAAAAAAGATGAATGAAACTATTGTGGAGCTGGGCAAGGAATTTGTTTTTCTCCTAGTGAAGGTAAGACCATATCTAAGAAGGTAAACTGAAACTCACCCAGAAATTCCATTCCCTACCCTGCTAGTAAAGGAGCACAGAAGTTATGATTCACCAGAAAATGTAATAGTGTAATTCTGAAACTGGTATCCTCTGAACCAATCTTTTCCAATTTGCTCAGTTTATTCTTTTAAATTTGAATTTGGCCACTATTTTTATTTATTTATTTTTGTCAGTCATGGGGGCTTGAACTCAGGCCCTGGGCACTCTTCCTGAGCTCTTTTGATCAAAGCTAGTGTTCTACCACTTGGAGCCACAGCGCCACTTCTGGTTTTTGAGTCGTTAATTGGAGTCTCATGGGGACTTTTCTGCCCGGGCTGGCTTTGAACTAAGATCTACAGATCTCAGCCTCCTGAGTAGCTATAGGTGGCTCTAGTGAGCCACCAGAGCCCAGCTGGCCATTCTTTAAATAATGAGCTTTAAAGACTAATATAACAGCTTGGTTTCAGTAGCATAGAGTATAAAAAAAAATTTAGTTGGGCTACAGTGGCTCAAATCTATAATCTTACCCATTTGGGAGCCTGTGATTTGAGGACTGAGGTTAGAAGATAGTCTAAGCAGACAGCCTGAGCAGATCTATAGAATCTTATCTCCAATTAATCAGCAAAATCCAAGACTGGATATATGGCCTCAAGTAGCAGAGTGCTAGCAATGAGCAAAGAAGCTAAGCTTGAGCATGAGGCCCTGAGTTCAACTTCCAGTACAAGCACACATACTCACAAATTAATAATATTCATGATATAATTTTTTCTAGTGATGAGAATAAACTTTTTGTGTAGACTCATATAGAAAACATATAGGTTTATTTTCAACCTGAAGAAGTCATTTAATCCATATTCTTTTCCCCAAGGATTTAAAAAATTATATAAAGAAATTAGCACAGAATCAGACAGGTAGAGACATTAAATACTTCCTGTTTTTTTTTTTCTGGATACTCAGAATATGAAAGCAAGTTAAGATGGGATGGGAGTATCCAAATATTTTTGTCCAGGGAATAAAATTTCTTTTAAAAAAATTGTAACATCAAGCCTAGTGGTATTGAAATGTAATCCCAGCACTCCATAGGCTGAGGCAGGAGGATCTCCAGCTCAAAACTATTCTGGAATACTCTATTTTCTTAAATGTCAAGACCTGCTACAATAAGATATTAGAACACCATATTATCATCAAGTGCTTGGAATATGACCATTATAGGCAATAGATTTGGATTTATTTAAACAGTTGCTCTGATCAAATCTACGTGATTCACAGCTCATCAAAATTTCTCCCATACCCAACCCATTATGGACAAATCTAATACAGTTGCACATAGATGTGCCATTCCAGAAACAGTGAAGCTTACAACAAAAATTCTCCTTTACCTAGAGTGATGATAATTCGGTTTCATTTCTAAAGTATACCAGAGGTTTTTCAAAGGTTGAAATATATGTCTTCCCCATCCAGGTCTCCTTGCTTACACAGGACATAGCAGAGCGGTAAGAGCATTTATTGTAAATGGGCACATCAGCTCTCACAGATGCTGAACAAGAATCATTAGTGCTTGCTCCATATGAGGTATTCCATTAAGCTGAAGCTTTTGGTTTCTTTCTGGTAGCAAACCACTCATCACTTTTATCTGCTGCCATTGCCTGTAGAAACACAGAACGGGTATGCATTTGTTCGAAGTCTGAGGAACAAAGGATACAATATGCTTTGCAACTCACTTCACTGTCCACAGTGAAAAAAAATACCATCATTCAGTGTAGAGCGCCTTGTTCAACATGACAGGAGATGCTATGAGTACTGAGTCATTGCTTGGTGATCCTTTATATGCACAGTAAAGACTTTGCAAAGTATGCAGCTGGGAAGTGTGGGTGGCTGCTGCTAAGAGAGCAGGAACCATGTGTTCCAGGCTGTGGGTCTTTGGTAGAACAAGAATCTTTTTGTATATGTGTGCCAGTCCTGGGTCTTGAACTCAGGGCTTGGGTGCTGTCCTTGAGCTTTTTTGCTCAAGGCTAGTGCTCTACCACTTGAGACACAGCTCCACTTCTGACTTTTTAGTGGTTAACTGGAGATAAGAGTCTCACAGACTTTCCTTCCTGGGCTGGCTTCGAACTACAACCTTCAGATCTCAGCCTCCTGAGTAGCTGGGATTACAGGTGTGAGCCACCAGTGTGACAGCTAAGAAACTCTTTAAAAAACATGTACAGCAAGTGAAACTCTCATACACTTAAGGTATTTGCCTGTATTCTTTTTTTTTTTTGGGGGGTCCGGTCGTGGGGCCTGAACTCTGGGCCTGGGCGCTGTCCCTCAGCTCTTCAGCTCAAGGCTAGCGCTTGAGCCACAGCGCCACTTCCAGCTTTTTTCTTTTTGCTTATATGGTGCTGAGGAATCAAACCCAGGGCCTCATGCATGCAAGGCAAGCGCTCTACCACTGAGCCACCTTCCCAGCCCGAGGCAGAAGTCTTGACCTAAGAAAGATCAAACTTTTGTATCACTCAGTAAAAGAACAAAGTTGTGCCGGATGCTGGTGGCTCAGGCCACCTCTTGAATATCAAGAGGCTGAGATCTGAGAGTCACAGTTCAAAGCCAGCCCAGGCAAGAAAGTCTGTGAAACTCTTATCTCCAATAAACCACCAGAAAACCGGAAGTGGCGCTGTAGCTCAAGTGGTAGAGCGCTAGCCATGAGCTGAAGAGCTGAGGGACAGCGCCTAGGCCCAGAGTTCAAGCCCCACGCCCCAAAAAAAAAAAAAAAAAAAGTGAACTAGTGGAAAAAAATGTATGACCTTCAGAAAAGAAAAATACACAAGATTATCCAAGTGGGGCAGAGGAGGAAAGCAGGAGATCTCATCATGCTGCTCCCAATGCATATGAATAATTAATTTCCAGAATTTCAATTTAAGTATCTTGGGATGGAGCTGACGGTAGATAACTGAACCACAGAAAGAGAAACTGCAGTTAGGGACTATTACAGTGTAATTACTTTCGACAGCTGTTTGGCACTTTCATATAGAGTAAAAGCAATTCTAGTGGGTATTTACCCAAGAGACATAAAACATGTACTACAAGAAGATTTAAACAGCCGGGCGCTGGTGGCTCACGCCTGTAATCCTAGCTACTCAGGAGGCTGAGATTTGAGGATCACGGTTCAAAGCCAGCCCGGGCAAGAGAGACCGTGAGACTCTTATCTCCAATAAACCACCAGAAAACCGGAAGTGGCGCTGTAGCTCAAGTGGTAGAGCACTCGCCTTGAGCTGAAGAGCTGAAGGACAGTACCCAAGCCCAGAGTTCAAGCCCCACGACCGACCAAAAAAAAAAAAAAAAAGAAGATTTAAACAAAAATATTCAGAGCAGTCTTCCTTAGGATAAACATCTGGAAACAACCCAAATGGTTGTCATCACAACAATAAGCAAGTTTTTAATCCCATAAAAAAGAGTAACACTCAGCAAGGAAAAAATAAATACAATCTATACAATTACATGGAGGATTCTCAAAAATGTTTTTGTTTGGGGAAACAAGCCAGACACAAAAAATACTTAATGAATGAGTCCATTTGTGTGAAATTCAAAAACAAAACTGACCTATGGTGCCAGAATAGCAGCTGCTTCTGGGAGAAGGTATCATAAAGACTCAAGAAGAGACTTCTAACACTACAGGAGAGGTACTCGAAGGAGAGGCTGGTCAGTGACATGAAAGTGTGAAGGAAAGAGTCAAGCAAATTTGCCAACTGAGAAGTTCTTGAGAGTCTACTTTCCGATGATAAAGCTTCAAAGGGCTCTATTTTCTATGTTTCCTACATTGATTAACATTAACTGAGCCTCTGTTATGCCCACAATTTTCTAGGCTTTATAAACCACACATGCCACCCCCATTTGGCCAATAATGACAGAAGTAGGGAAAGGAGACTCACATCATCCAGTAATTTGCTCCCTTCTGGATCCATCTTAGAAAGTTCTCGAAAAGCTTCATCACCAACAAAGCAAATTTCATGTCCATCCTTTATCAATAAAGAGAAAAGTAATTTGGCAAAAAACATCTCTGAAGAAAGCCCTGAACAGCCTGTTCCCTTGTTAATACTCACAGGGTCAGCCAGAATGACTACTTGTACAGTTGCCTTGCCTGGGGTGTCCAGACTCACCAAAGGAGTCAGGATCTTCTGCTTCTCCCTTTTCATCAAGTCCTCTAAATCTGGCAACTTGAGGAAAGCAAGAAGGCAAGGTGAGCAAGGGCCATGGATGAGTTTTATGGCATAGTCCTCATAGCCTAAGACTATCTGGTCAGAAAGAACCAAGTTACCACTTGTTTGATTTATTATCTCAATGTTCTCGAAACAATCGTTAAACCTGATACCAAAGGCACAATCAGAATGAACCTAAGGAATGAAGGGCAAGGTTCTCAGCTAGGTTGAGCCAACAAGTGAGAGAGCCTTCACATTTGATCAGGTTATCTAACAGTACCTCTTTCTGGGGACAAGAAAAGGCAATTCTTCCAAAGGCTGCTGCGTGATCCACTGCACCCTTGATGCCCTGAAGCTCCAGCTTACACTGAAAAGAAAAAAGAGAGTGGGCTTGGGCCTTCAGACAAGTAGTTTATGCATGTAATAAAAAAGAAAAACCAACAAAATACCAAAACCTCTCAAAGTCTGGTACTGGTGGCTCATGCCTATAATCCTAGCTGCTCAGGAGGTTGAGATCTAAGGATCTTGGTTTGAGCCAACTGGGGTAGCAGCAAAGTACATGAGACTCTTATCTCTAATTATCCACTCAAAAGCCAGAAGTGAAGCTGTGGCTCAAGTAGTAGAACATTATTAGCCTTGAGCAAAAAAGTTCAGGGACAATGCCAGGTCCTCCGTTTAAACCCTAAGACTGGCACAAAACCAAAACCAAAACCAAAAAAAAACCCCTCCAAGCCAGGGACTAGTGGCTCATGCCTATAACCTAGATACTCAGGAGGCTGAGATCTAAGGATGGAATTCAAAACCAGGCCAAGTAGAAATGTTCAAAAGATTATCTTCAATTGACCAGGGGGAAAAAAAAGCTGGGTTGGAGATGTGGCTCAATTGGTAGAATGCCATTAAGAATAAAAAAACCCAGGGGCTGGGAAGTTGGCTCAGTGGTGGATCGCTTGCCTTGCATGCCTGAGGCCCTGGGTTCGATTCCTCAGCACCACATAAGCAAAAAGAAAAAAGCCAGAAGTGGTGCTGTGGCTCAAGTGCTAGAGCATTAGCCTTGGGCTGAAGAGCTGAGGGACAGTTCAGGCCCCACGAACGGACCCCCCCTCCACAAAAAAAAAAAAAAGAATAAAAAAACCCAGAGTGTGAGGCCCTGAGTTCAAACTTAAGAACTAGCATAAAAAACTCTAAACTAAGACTAGAGCAGGGTACCAGTGGCTTACACATGTAATATTAGCTACTCAGAAGGCCGAGATCTAAGAATCATGGTTTGAAGCCAGCCCAGGCAGGAATGTCCATGAGAGTTTTGTCTGCAATTAACCACCAGAAAACCAGAAGTGATACTGAGATGCAAAGACCCTGATTGAAAAAGCTCAAGGACAGTACCCAGACCCTGAGTTCGAGCCCCATAACTGACAAAAACAAAAACACTAAAAGAATACAGTAACAATTAAGTCTCTCTCTTACTCTCATCACAGAGGCAACCATTATTTCTGTGTATCTTGCTAGACACAGTGCATGCATTTCTTTCAACCAAATTCAGATATCAGCACCATTACATGTAATTCCGTCCCTGTTCTTCTCCACTTAATGCTACCACACAAGTAAAGACTTGCCTCAGTATTTTTGATAGCTGAAGAGTAATCCATCCTGTGAGTAAATAAAAAATTGAAATATTCCTCTAATCTAGACAAAGAGGTTTTTATCTTTTGCTATTATAATCAATAACTGATTAACTTATACAATAGCTAAACTTAATACCTAAGCCACTACCAAAATGAACCTAAGTATAAACTAATGCATAAGTATGATGAGTATAATCTACAACATTGCAAAGAATAGAATTTCTGGAAAAAGTACAAGGACTAATTCAGGTTCAAATGCTAGTTATTAAAAAATATGTATGGAAATAGATGATGTATAAATCTTGTGTGTATCTCTTCTAACTAAGCAATTCCACTTTCTAGAGTTTTATGCTTGCTAGGTACATGTGCTCTAACATTTGCCCTCCCCTCTCTGCCCCTTCCTTTCTTTCCCTCCCTTCTCTTTCAGTGCTGAAGATTAAGTCCAGGTTCTCAAGCTTGCTAGCACTTAGCCATACCCTAGCCCATTCCCCTTCTAAAAGATTATATACCCATATAGAAACAAAGGTAGTTTCTAAGACTCTACCTTAGAGATTAATGTTATTACAATGTTTTATTTTCTTCTTTTTGTTTATTTGCTTAAATACTGAATCACTGTAAGGAAGCTTTGGGAACAACCGTTATGTTAACTTTATCTATAAGCTAAACTGAAAATGAGAGATGTTATTTTTATTCAAGATTACCCACCTGATTATCAGCATAGCCTAGCAAAGCCCTTTTCTTCTCCTCATCTTGTTCATAAATTTTCATTCCCAGTAGATTAGACCAATAGTTCAAGGACTTCTGAAGGTCAGACACTGCTAGAGTTACTTTTAATACTGGGTCTATAGAATAATAAAACAGCAGAAATTTGTTAGTTCAGTGTAATAAGTTTTAAAAAGGCCAAAAACAGTTTAAAACAACTACAAGAACTTAGTTTATGGGGCTAGGATGTAACTTGGTGCTGGATTGTATGCCCAGAATGCACAATGTCTTGGGTTTGATTTCCAGCATACATTCAGCTGGGTACAGGTCGCTCACATGTGTAAACCTAGCTCCTCAGGAGCCTGACTCTGAAGATCATAGCTCAAGGCTTTCCTGGGCAAGAAAATCCATAAGATTTTAACTCCAATTACTACCAAAAAGCTAGAAATGGAGCTGTGGCTCAAGTGGTAGAGCACTAGCTTTGGGCATAAAAGTTCAGGGACATTGCCCAGGCCCTGAGTGCAAGCTCCAGGACCAGCACAAAAACAAAATAACCAGGTGCTGGTGGCTCATACCTGTAATCCTAGCTATTCAGGAAGCTGACATCTGGATTATGGTTCAAAGCCAATTCAGGCAGGAAAAGTCCATGAGACTCTTATTTCCAATTAACTGCCAGAAAAACAGAAATGGATCTGTGGCTCAAAGTGGTAGAATGCTAGCCTTGAGCAAAAGAGCTCAGGGACAGCACAGAAGCTCTGAGTGCAAGCCCCATGACAGACAAAAAAAGAAAAGAAAAAAAGAATATATTCAAATAAATGGCAGTAAGACAATCACTTGGTGAAAAAAAGGCACATATGTGAATTAAGTAAAAAAATGTATTCTTGATGAGTTAAAGGATTAAATTTAAAAATGAAATGAGAAAATACTAAATACAGGTAATCAGATGGTGATTTATACAAGTTTGTGTTGAAGAAAGACTTTTTTTCTTTATTTTTTTGGTGCTAGTACTGAGGCTTGAACTTAGGGCTAGGTGTTGTCTCTTAGCTTTTTCTGCTCAAAGCTAGTGCTCTACAACTTCAACCATACTTCCACTTCTGGCTTTTTGGTGATTAATTGGAGATAAGGCTCACAAACCTCTCTGCCTGGGTTTAGGCTTCAAACCATGATCCTCAGATCTCAATCTTTTGAGTAGCTAGGATTACAGGTGTAAACCACTGGCACTTGGTAGATTTTTCCTTAAATCTGACTTCAAAGCTTAAAAAACCATCAAGAACAAAACCCTGTTGGGTTAATTATACAAAATAGAAAACTCATGAATAGTCCAAAAAAAGAATTCCAGAGCTGGGCATATAGAGCACTTGCCTAGCCATGTGCAAGGACTTGGTTTTCATTTCTAGCACTGCAAAAAATAATAAATAAAATTACGATGAAAATTAAAGAGTAAATAACAAAGTAGGGGGAGAGTTTCATAACGTATAGGACAAACAATATGTAAATTATGTTAAGTTCACATAGGAAAAAGATGAAAATCCCAAAAAATTGGTAAAAGACACAAAGTGGTAATCCACACACACACACAAAAGAGAGAAACTGGAACGGTCCATGAACATAGGAATAACTATTCAGTCTGACAAATAATTTTATTGGACACAAAATTATCTTTTCATTATCAGTATTTTTTTCTCAACAAATAGTTTTAAAAGTTATGTTCACTGTTTTATTTTGTGTAGGGAAATTAATCATGTAAACTGGTAGGGTGTAAACTAGTTTACTTCTGGGCAAGGATGTGATAAAATGTATCAGTAGCTGTAAAGATGGACATTGTTGAAAGAATGTATCAAAAGCTTTAAAAATGTACATTTCTGAAATAGCAAGTCCATTTTTAGCAATTCAAAAAAATAAATGTGAATGTGTGGAGAGTTTTCAGCAGGAAGACATTCCCACAGTGTTGCCCAGAACAATGAAACACTAGGAACAACATAAACATCCAACAATACAGAACTGTTTAATTTCCCACAGCAATGGGATTCCTGTAATGGCTTAGAGAGAGAGATAGATCATTACATAGTCTGATAAAAGATTAAAAAGATATACTCTGAAAATTTCACAGTAGTTATTTCTGAGCATGTGGGTAGTATTTGTGTGTGTGTGTTTGTGCAAGAAAAATATTATTTATAAAAAAAAATCTGTTACACCCTAACATTTAGCACTAGTACTGGGATGGAGTTCAGTCATAAGCATACTTGGCCTGCTTGAGGCCAAGGGTTCAATACCCAGCTCAAAAAAAAAAATCCTCAAAAAATAGAATACCTGGCTAGGCCAGGTATAGTAGCTCAAGCTTATTTTATTTTATTTTTTTTGGTCGGTCATGGGGCTTGAACTCTGGGCTTAGGTGCTGTCCCTGCGCTCTTCAGCTCAAGGCGAGCGCTCTGCCACTTCCTGTTTTCTAGTGGTTTATTGGAGATAAGAGTCTCACGGACTTTCCTGCCCGGGCTGGCTTTGAACCGTGATCCTAAGATCTCAGCTTCCTGAGTAGCTAGGATTACAGGTGTGAGCCACTGGCACCCGGCTGTGGCTCAAGCTTATAATTCTAGCTACTTGGGAGGTGTAAATCTGCAGAATTAAAGTTCAAGGGCAGAAAAAGAAAAAAGCCTCACAACAACAACAAAAGAAAAAAAAAAGAAAAGGAAAAAAAAAGAAGGAAAAAATCTTCATGGGATTCCATCTCAACCAATGGCTGGGCACAACTGTACATTTGTATCTATCATTCCAGCTATAAGAGGAAACACAAATGGAGGTCTATAGTCCAGGTTGAAAATGGGAAAATGAGACCCTCTTCCAAACATAACCCGTGCAAAAAGGGCTGGAGATGTGGCTGCTCAAGTGGTAAAGGGCCTGCCTAACAAGTACAAAGCCCTGAGTTCAAACCCTAGTGCTACAAATAAATAAAATTAACAGGAGGAAGTATAGATTTTGCCTACCATCCCATCCCCTGGGGAAGGTCTTACATTTCTGGCTAAGAGAGAAAAGGAACTTCTAAAAATCGCAGAGGATCGCTGGGTGCCTGTGGCTCACACCTGTAATCCTAGCTACTCAGGAGGCTGAGATCTGAGGATCGAGGTTCAAAGCCAGCCCAGGCAGGAAAGTCGGTAAGACTTTTATCTTCAATAAACCACCAGAAAGCTGGAAGTGGCGCTGTAGCTCAAGTGGTAGAGTGCTCACCTTGAGCTGAAGACCTGAAGGGACAGCACTCAGGCCCAGAGTTCAACCCCCACAATTGACAAAAAAGAAAAAAAAATCCCAGTGGACTCTAATCTCTAGGCCACTGTGTATTCTTTGATTTGCAAGCTTATGACCTAACATTAGGGAAAACATTTTATATTGTAAAGTGAACATATTGTAAAGAAGGGCAATGCCATAACAAGGCCATGGAGTTCTCTTCAGTGTCTCCTCCTGCAGGTTCAATTTTCGTTTTCTCCACTGATTTCAAAATCAGTAAATTTCAGTTGACACAGAACCTTCAGGAGTGTGGGGACACAAATGAGAACAGGCTAAAAGTACACAGGAGGGAGTGATTGACAAATGCCAGAGAGACCACAGAACTTGCTGTATTGGATACAGGAACTTAGTCCTCCAAAGTGTTGCCATTCCAGAGGACAAAAACATTTTGAAGCTCTCCATTAGTCAAGTCCAGGCTGAGTATACCTTATCTGAAATTCAGGGGACCAAAGGTGTCTTAGACTTTGGAAAATCTATACAGAACTCTCCATTGGCTATCCATTATCCAAAAATTCCAAAATCTGAAACTTTTTGGCAAGTGACACGGTACTGAAGGCGTGCTATTTTAGGTTTGGGAGCATTTGGAATTTTTGGAATAGGGATACTTGCTTTATACTGAAGTATCAAAACTGTCCAGTGGAGTTGGTTAAATCAAGTAAGGTTTAAAATCAGTATATAAAATAATTGCCTATCAACAACAATAACCATAAAAATCCCTGGAATCACTAGTGAAACATAGAAATATTCTCTCTCAGCAAGTCTAACCTCCCACATTAGAATGGATTTTTTGTGATTTTTTTTTTTTTCTTGCTGAGTACCAGATGAAAATCAAGTAGCATTAAACACGGTTAGCAGACTCAGCATTTGAGACCTGAAGCAGAACAATGGAGGGAAGAATTTGACTTTTATGGTTCTCATCTCAGGTCTTACAGGCATACACTCCAGTGAAATAGCAGTCAGAGTTGTCCTTCCTCTTCATCAGCATTTTACTTCTTTTCTTCATTCATTCACTCATTCATTCATGCATGCATTTTATTACAGAGGCTGCTGGATTACCCATAATAAGATCATCTCCTCAGTGAATAAAAACATACCTTTCCAGGTTTCCCTCCTGCTCTGGGAAGCAGTCATTGTGATGCACTGACTTTGCTAGCATCCGCCATCATTGGGGACCAGCACTGGAGTTTAGGAAACTGCTCCCAGCTCAATGGATATGGCTAGCTGGTCAGGGATAAACTAGTTCTCTTGTCAATGATCAGTTTGGAAAGTCAGATAGAAGAATTCATAAAAAAATTTTCTCCGTTCTTTTAAAAGAGCAGTAAATGCTGGTAGCTCACACATATAATCCTAGCTACTCAGAGGCTGAGATCCAAGGATCACAGTTCTAAGCTAGTCCAGACAGGAAAGTCTGTGAGACTCTCATGTCCAATTAAATGCCCAAAAAGCTGGAAGTAGAGCTGTGGCTCAAGTGGTAGAGCACTAGCCTTGAGCAAAAAAGCCTAGGAAAGTGTCTAAGCCCTGAATTTAAGCCCCAGGGCCAGCATGCATGCATGCATGCACACCAATGCACAGGTGCACTCATACACGTGCATAAACAAGCAAGTAAGAAATAAGTTCTCTGTCTCATACCTTAAGAGAATTTGGGAGGATGTAGCCCCAACTTTTACTGCTAGCCATCCTCCATTCATGACAGGACCAGGTCTAAAAGAAATATACTAAGTACAGAGAAAACCAAGAGAGAAAAATTGGGTTCTTGATACCATGGCTGAGCTGCTGAATCAATGGACCCTGAATCTTTCCTATCTGTAAATACCTGCTGGGATAGCTAAAAATCTGGTTCTAGATGGAGTTAGCTTTTCTGTTATTTAGAGCTGAAAGAATCCTAAACAGACACATTATCTCTAGAGCACAACCAGTCTACATTCCCTATAGTTACACATTAACATACATTAATATGAGAGTAAAATTTCTCAGACAACAGGTAAAAGCAGTAGTTTGTGAAGGACATGCCCTGTCAATATAGAAAAGTCTATAATAAACAACTCTAGTTCCTTCTCTCCTTCTATCAAAGATGCCTTTATATAAGTTTTTACCAGTCCTGGGATAATTACCTGACTGAGGGAGACTTTGATTCTGCAAATAGAACTTATATCCTCCTGGGGCCTTAGTTTCAAAAACTCCTTCTTCAACTTCACTGAGGGGCCACTCCAGTTTCCTGGCATTGCTGACAGCCTGGCTAGAAGCAATTGTGATTCCCTGTAACAGACAATAAAACACCCACATAATCACAAGAGATCTTTTACACAAAAATTCTACTACCTTCAGGCTAAATCACTTAAGATTTAATTGACATTCAATCTCTCTTAATTTTTCAAGCAGGTTTTGGAAGTTTCATCTCACAAAGGTAAAGACCTTTAGGGATGATAGGACAGAAGTTCAAATATCAGTGAAGTTCAATCCATTTGACACCAAAATTAATGTCTACAAATTTTCAATATGTAGCAAGTTTTCATCTTACCTTGATCTGCCAACTGTCAGCTACTATTTAAAGTGATGTTTTTAGTTTTGCTCTGTGTGTGTGTGTTGCTAGGAATTAAATGCAGAGCTGTGTGTGCTAGCCAACAGCTACATCCCCAGACCAATCTTTATATTTAAAAAAATTTAAGCCAATTGAGAAGCACTCTAAATTTAATCAAAATACCTAATAATGAATAATGAATAAGGCAGCTTCATTTCGAACCTGGATTATTACAACCCTTTCTATTCCAGTCCTGCCAATCTCTAACTCCCTCTGCAGCCACAGTAAATGTCAAAATGCAACCTACAGCCTGTTCTCAAGACAGCTGTCAATCTTGTTTAGCCTCTGCTCAAAATCCTTGATAGCTCTTTATTTTACTTGGATTGTTTATAATGGCCATTTTTTTAGACAAGTTCTAGGTAGACCAGGTTGGCCTCCAACTCAAGACCTTCTAGCCAGTGCTGGAATTATAGGCATATGTCAACACACTTAGCTCCCTGTCACTTCTGACGCATCTCTATGCTTCTCTATTCTAGCCACACTGGCTTCAAGGCCCTTCCTTGCACATTCTCTCTCCTCCAACACACACATGGCTAATTTCCTTACTTGCTTTGAATTTTTGCTCTAGTGTCATCTCTTTCACTGACACCCTATTCCAAATTACAATAAGCCATCTGCCAAACAAAAATTTCCTGGGAGAGTGATATTTACCATGAAGTCATTGCCAAGCTTGTAGTTGCCAATGCCATAATTGTATGTTAGTTCTGCAACAAAATGATCGTCCTCAGGCCCAAATCCTACCATTGTTTTACTCCACTTCCCATCATAAGGCCTAGATAAAGGAAAATATATGAATGCAGTAATCACAAGAAAAAATCTGCTTCAGGCTTTTCTCAGAGAACTACGGACAGAGGTGGGCAGCCACTGCTGGTCTATAGATTCTCATAGGATGAGATGACCTCAGATGGTACACTCAAAATAGTGTTCATGGGCCCAACTATAAGCCTTATCTCATCTATTTCATATCTGTTTATTTGAGGGAAAGATTTTGTTTACCTTTTCTTTAAAGCAGGGAAAGGAATCCTAAAGGCAATTTTCCAATCTGACTTTATTTCTTCATATATCAATTGGTAAAAATACAAATCTCAACAGGCTTTGGAATTTTCTACTTGTTATGAATCCTAAGCCTTGAAAATTATTATTTTTTATTTATTTTTTTGTTGGTTGTGGGGCTTGAACTCTGGGTCTAGACGCTGTCCCTCAGCTCTTCAGCTTAGGGTGCCAGTGGCTCACGCCTATAATCCTAGCTACTCAGGAGGCTGAGATCTGAGGATCAAGGTTCAAAGCCAGCCAGGACAGGAAAGACCGTGAGACTCCTATCTCCAATAAACCACCAGAAAACTGGAAGTGGCGCTGTGGCTCAAGCGGTAGAGTGCTCGCCTTGAGCTGAAGAGCTGAAGGACAGTACCCAAGCCCAGAGTTCAAGCCCCATGACCGACCAAAAAAAAAAAAAAA